CGGCCCATGATGCCTTGACTATTATCCGCAATGCCCTCAGTTTGCCCAAATTGATGAACGTCCTGCGTACATCCAAACACATTGACCCTTCTAAATTGGGTGAATTTGACGGAGCCCTGCGCACCGCCCTGTCGTCGATTTGCAATGTTCAAGTGACCGACAGTGGTTGGTCCCAGACTCAGCTGCCGGTGCGATTTGGTGGGCTGGGGTCGCTTAGCGTGGTTCAGCTGGCTCCTGTTGTTTATAATTCTTCTGCCGCTGCCACTCTCGACCTGCAGTCTTCCCTGCTCCACCGGTTTTTTTGGTGCCGCGATATTCTTCCCCCAGTGTCCGCCCCGGGGACCGTACGCACGTCCAAATTTTGAACGAAGAATATAAAAAAATCTTTCAAAATTTGTTGTCTTCATGCGGCGATGACTTTTCCACCGCTCGTTTGTTGGCCATGTCCAGCGTTGCCAGCTGTGGGTGGTTGAGATCGTGGCCCAACACCTCTGTGGGGACCAGGCTTGACGACGAGTCTGTGAGATTTGCCATTGGCTTCAGACTTGGCCTGGTCATTCAAAATAAATACACGTGCCGATGTGGCGCTGGGGCGGACGAATTTGGGCACCACGGTTTGGTTTGTCGCTTGGGTGGGGGCCGTCAACTACGTCACTCAGCGCTAAACGAATACATTTGTCAGCTCTTCTCCAAGGCTTCAATCCCGGTTCTCAAGGAACCATCCGGCATTTCTGCGCATGATGGTAGGCGCCCGGACGGATGCACACTAATACCTTGGAGAGCCGGCAGATGTTTGGCGTGGGATGTTAACGGTCCCTGGCACCCTTGCCGAACGATATGTAAACCTGACAAGTAAAGAATGCGGTTTGGCCGCGGCCAGGGCAGCGGACGAGAAAATGAAAAAATATGCGAACGCCCTCTCCTCGATGGAATTCTTGTCAATATGTATCGAGGTTCTCGGCCCGATGGACTCCAATACCCTTAAATTTCTTAAGGCAATATGTAAAATGATCAGCGTCAGATCAGGTGACAGCAGGGAACTGTTTTTCGCAACTAACCACATTTCGTGCTTGTTGCAGCGGTTCCTGCGTGTCTGTGTGCTTGAAAATATCCAACTGAATGCCGACATGTGCAATTAACGACAAATCAAAGTGTTAATCCATTTGTTACTTGATGTTTGACGGTTCAGAGTAACTCATCATGTTTTGGTTTTAACATACATACATACATGCATACATACATACAAACATACATACATACACACATACATACATACATACATACATACATACATACATACATACATACATACATACATACATACATACATGCATACATACATACATACATACATACATACGGCCAGAAAACATGGTAAAGGCAATGCTCACATCTAAAATTGCTTGGGATGCCATCGATTCATTTTCGTCTGAGGTTTTCCGAAATCTACGTACGATAGAAAGACAAAGAGCAAACAAAGTTGGAAAATAGAAGCAAACAAAGTTAGAAAATAGAAAAATACATTAAAGGCAGAAATTAACAGAAGGAAAAGCAAATAGCTATAATCCTCTCCCCGTGTAGTAATGCCTAACGGCGGGTTAACGGGGAAACAGGGGCCAGATGTCGAGGAGGTTTTTAGTCGGTATGGGATTTTATTTTTTTCGAGTCCGACATATCCAAGGGCTGTGGCTTGGGAATACGTAAATGTATTTTCCTACCTCGAAAGAAAAAAAACAAAAAAACAAAAAAAAAACATACATACATACATACATACATACATACATACATACATACATACGTACATACATACTTCAGTGTCACTCATCATGTTTTGTTTTTAACATACATACATACATACCCACGGGTCTTATGGAGGAAGGTAGCCTCAGACCCGATGGGTATACTATTTCACCATGGGCGCAGGGACGTTCCCTTGCTTGGGATGTTACGTTCCCTCACACCATGGCTGAAAGGTACATTAATCTTACCTCACAGGAAGCGGGTGCCGCTACCTTAAAAGCCGCAGACTTTAAAAATTCAAAATATGCGGCTCTTGCAGAAAGCAAAATTTTTCAGCCAGTCTGCATTGAGACCTTTGGTCCAACCGATGCTCAGACTCAGAGTTTTCTGAATGAACTCTGTAGCAGGATTGTAGAAGTATCGGGTGACCCATTAGATAAGAGTTATGTAAAGCAATCCTTTTCTATTTTACTTCAAAAATATAATTCTTTCTGTATTTTGGATGGAGCGTTAAAATACCTGTCTGTGCGAAGCGTTTAACAAAGCTGAACCCGGATATGATTATTACTTCCCTATAGTTCTAATCAATTATGGGTTCATACATACATACATACATACATACACACATACATACATACACACATACATACATACACACATACATACATACATACACACATACATACATATGTACATAACACGAACATAAGTACATGTACGTATATGCATTTGCACGCTGACACGCTGCAATTCATTTCTTTCAATAAAACACCAATCTCGCTTCTATATCATCCTTGCAGACACACTAATAACCATCATTTATTTTTATTTATTATGCTAATTATGAGAGATTGTCTGAAATTTATAACAACTAAGATTACGGAGAACCAACCAACCACTACAACAAAAAACAACAACAACAGCAAAAACAAACTGAGGTACTTAACAAACTTGAAGCAACATTACAAATAGTAGCAATTACAAAACATACAAACAAAATATAACTAACAAAAAAAACTAAATAATGACTTACTCTAATAAAAAAAAGTTCAAACGGGGTCAATTTTTCCATCGTTAACAATTACTATAACGCAAATATCAATACAAAAAGAGAATATACATCATACATAAATCAACTACCAGCCAGAACAACAATTTGTACCGGGGCAACATCAATCCAAACTCCAAAAGCAAGATTTGTTGCTTTCTGTTTCTTCACATATTCTGGAATGTTACTACATATTCTAGAAAGTAATAACCGTGCCAAGCGGTGCAACATGAAATTTCGTGATTTTCATAAAAATATTATACCGGTCGATAATGTTTTAAAATTTTTAAACGAAACAATAATAAATAAATTTGGTTGAGAGAAATTCTAATTTTTTGAAATGTGATACGAAACTGATCGGCAAGACTGCAGTCCCAATTACCTAAAATCTTATTGGCTACCCGTGTTGGTGTGATGTTGAAAATATTAACGATTTGATTTATTTTCAATTTGGATAAATCTTGAAAAGATTAACACAAATCTTGCCATTTTTTAAAAGTACTTCTTCATCAGGGTGCTCCAGATCTTTGAAATACTTTTTGTTTGTGACAGTTTAATTGGCAAGCTCATTAACTCATCATATCACAACGCAAAAAATCTGAATGTGAAACGAACAATTTATTGATTCACGTCTAGAAATCTTTAAATTCTGAAAAATTTTATTTTCAAATCAAATAAAATTTTTAGAGAGTAACCCAGAGCAAAGAGTAACACAGAGCAGGCTTGCGGTTTGAATGTTTTGCAATAAATTATTTTAGTCTATTTTTTTTATGTCGATGTTTTATCATCTCACATTATTTCGGAAAGGTTATTTATTGTATTAATAAAGTTATAAATGGCCGGCATGCTCTAGGACAATTGTGATGCATGGTCCTCGTTATAAATTCAAAGCACTTTCTCGCTTTTCGTCATATTTAGTTATTGGGAAATTTGTGAAATTTGGAAATTTTTTTTAATTTTTCATTGGTGATACATGAAAAAATGTATTAATTAGGCAATAATGATTTTGAACAATGTGACAAAAACAACATAAATAATAACATTAATAATCTTGATTCAAAGAAAAAGTTTGAGATGTTACTTTTTGTCATAGTTTTGCATAATAATAAAAATGATAATATTTAAAACAGTAACAATAATAATAATTATAATGTTTCATTTTTGTAGAGCTCAGGTTTGCGTGGAATCTTCACTAAATCTTTACTAACTAACAACATACAAACATTCACGAGTTAGTACGAGCAAAGACGTGCGTATCCCGGATGCACATGGTAACAGTGATGAGTTTTTTTGCATTCAAACCTGGTCAGGAGAGAAGCAAGCAGACATTTTAATCCTGCCACATTCAAACGTCGATTCATAGATATGAAAATGTTACAATGACAAAAATTAATGGGATGGTAAAAAAATAAAATTTTGAATATATAATTTTAATATTTGAATTTTTTGACCATCAATAAAAATCGATGATGTAACATAAAAATTATTAACTCTGATGAATTCAACGTAGCCATCTTTCGATCACACGTTTGCTTCTAAGGTGGAGGGGAAAAAATTTTCAAGTAAAAGTGAATTTTCTTGAAGTTAAATTTTAAAACACGCGATCTTGTGAATGTGACGAGGGAAAAAAAATGATTAGCACATTTTTTGAAAAGTTTTAAACGTTCATTCGACATCAGTGGTGTTCGTATGCTTGTAAATAGCTGTTACACGCAATGAAAAGTGTCGTTGGAAAACTCAACAAACAACACAACGAACTGCGCCATGATGCATCAAACGTATCATGCGATAAAATGGAATAATTACTTGCTGACTTGGCAAAAAAGTTATTTTCCACTCATGTCAGCTGAAAATTTTCTTTCAAAAATTAAACTAATTTCTGTAAGAATGACTTAAGAATATTTTAAAATAATATACACGTGGTTAAAAATGTACAGCTCTTTCATTTATTACTTGATGTTTCAGTAAACTATACTGAATTATTTTTTATAGTTTGTTTCAAGACAAACAATTATATTCAGGCATAACAAATGGCCTAAGTTTATAGCAAAACACAAGAACAGGATCACAATAGGGCTGGTGTTCATTGATATGCCAACTTCACCTGATGCCAATAAACATCCGAGACAACTTTTTCATCATAGGCCGGGCATGTTTTGATTTATTTGCATCGTTCAACTCACTAAATTGATAGGCCATAATGTGGCATTGCTCACTTTCCTGGTCATTATAATTCCTAATGTTCGCTTTTTTTCAATCTTATTTCGCAAATTACTTTTCTATTTATTTGTTATTTGAATATTTTTCCAATAAAATTCATCATTACTTTTGCCAACGTAGTTTTTCACTGGCCATGTTTATACAATTCTATGATTATTTTTCTAGTATTATTAATATTATTATCCTCGTTATAACCATCATCGTCACAGTCATCCTCGCAACTATTTCAATATAACAGATACAAATATTTCGACATCCATGCACGTTCTATATTTCGAAACATTTGATTTTTCTCTTCCAGGCAGTAATGAGTTCCACCCAGCATCGATTCGTCCCAAATGGATTCGTCCTGCGTCGTTACTCTTTGGAACAACTGAACTAAGGCTCATTTTAGCTTTTACACTTTGGTCGGCTGGTACAGAAACATCAGTTAATAGACACTGTTGTTTGTTTTTTGTAGCAGGCATTTGGTGCTGTGATGTTTGCAGTAGCTGGTTTCGATTACAAATAGATCCCCGGCTATCAAATACAATGTATGGCATGTGTGGATTCACTGTGTTCTCGTTGTTTACCTTGATACCTCTGAAAATAATTTAAAAAAATTAATAAATTATTATTTATTTTTCTTTTTATGTTATTGCCATAGTGGTTTTCGCCATATGTTATCATATAAAATAAAAATTGAAAGATAAACCGAGATAAAAAAAAACAAACTTGATGTTTATTAATAATAACGTGCTGTCCTTCGTCCATCTGTCATCGTTCATTCTAGATGCATCCACATTTGCTGGACAATCATTCTTCCCGCTGACAGCGTAACATTTTTCTTCTTCGTCGTTTCAGCTTCTCTCTGCTAATAATTATTTTTGTCATCTCACAGCATCGTATAATAATCATTGCGATCACATCTGCAATCAACTTATTTATCATTGCCTTTGTTATCAATTCATCATCATCTCTGTTGTCATCTTTTTCCTCATTTTAATTGTTGACATCATCGTCCTCTTCATCAGCATCATCGTATTTATTCCCATTCATTTCTCTCTAATCCATCT